TTGGAATTAATAAAACTAATAAATGTGAAAGCATGCATATTTTGAGCATTTAAATAATGTGTATTTAAAAATGATGTCCCAACCTGAATTTGCCAGGGTAGGTGTTATTCGTTCAACTAAAACAGATTGTTTTTGTGAGTGATCATATGTAAAGAAGATGGATGACAGCCTTGTAAATCCTTTAAAAAATTGTATGTGTGTTTCTCTCAAATTTGAGAGAAGAGTTTTGTTTTGTTTTGTTTTGTTTTGTTTTTTAAGAGATGAGATCTCACTTTGTCACCTAGGCTAGAGTAAAGTGGCAGGATCATAGCTCACTGCAGCCTCAAACTCCTGACAGTAAGTGATCCTCCCCAGTCAGCCTCCTAAGTAGCTAGGACCACAGGCACATACCAACACGCCCAGCTAACAATTATTTTTTTTCTTTTTTGGTAGAGACAAGGTGTCACTATGTTGCCCTGGCTGGTCTCAAACTCCTGGGCTCAAACAGTCCTCCTACCTCGGCCTCCCAAAGCCCTGGGATTACAGGTGTGAGCCCCCACACCAAGTCCAGAAAAGAGCATTTAATGGGAATGAATATAGATTCCTTTTTCTCCTACAGAATTTATTAGGTCAATACAGAAATTTGCAAGGGAATTTTTCAGAATCATCATTTTTCTAATTTTTTTATTGTGAGATTTACCAGAAACAAATTAGATGCTACAGTCTCATCAACAATGAGAAAAAGAGAGAGATCACAGAAGTCTAAGTCTGAGATAGTTAATCATCTTCAGTAGACTCTTAGGAAGCTGAAGGTTTATGTTTAGGCTCCTACTTCATGTGGAAAGAAAACTCATATTCTCGTCATCAATTTTAAGGTATATTTTTTCAGATATAATTGTTACTATATAAACTAATCCTGTGCTACTTGTAAACTGATTGTATCCAATATTTTAGCAGTAGAATTTAGCACACTGCCACAGAAAACCCACACAGTAATGGCAAATATACAAATTTATGTAATAATTAGTTGGTAATGTGTTAAGTAGTTTTGTTTTTCATTTGTATTAGTGAGGAGATTTTGTTGTTAAAAATAATTAAACTGCTGATTGTTAGATAGTATATTTGGCTATCAACTGTTTTCTGGAATTGAACCAAGGTAGAATAATTCTCCTATTTATAGGCTACTGTGGAAGCTCCATTTTGATTATCTTCCATTTTGATTGAATTTTGATTAAAATTTGAGGATTTTTGCAGAAAAAAATTCTTAAGCTGTGCATCTCAAACCTTAATATACATACAAATGACTTGGGCATCTTCTTAGATGCCCTTTGTGATTCAGTGAGTCTAGGATGGTTTATTAGTCTGTTCTCATGCTGCCAATAAAGACATACCCAAGACTGGGTAATTTATAAAGAAAAAGAGGTTTAATGGACTCACAGTTTCATGTGGCTTGGGAGGCCTCGCAGTCACGGTGGAAGGTGAAAGGCATGTCTTACATGGCAGCAGGCAAGAGAGAATGAAAAATCAAGTGAAAGCGGAAACGCTTTATAAAACCATCGGATCTTGGGAGACTTATTCACTACCATGAGAACAGTATGGGGGAAACCGCCCCCATGATTCAATTATGATGAGTCCCTCCCACAACATGTGGGAATTATGGGAGCTCCCAGGAGCTGCTGATGTTGCTGGTCCATGGACCACGCTTGGAGTAGCAAGGATATAAAGAACTGGACCTCTGGTGGAAGTAGGACAAGGTGTAACAAATTGTGACTGTCTTTATCAGCAATGCGTGATTATTATTTGTATCCCTTTGAGAAGAAAAGCCCCTCTTACATTTCTATAAAGAGTTGAAGTAGACATTGGGCCACTCAAGAGGGGCATGATATAAGGAAACATTGAAGCCTCTCTAAGTTTATAGAAGACAATCTTCCTTGAGATAGATATACTTCACATCTGGGCTCCTACCTCAGGATAGGTTAGAGTGGTCTCTTTCACTGCACACCGTATGTAATGAGAGAATGAGCATGAAAAAGGTAAATATCATCTTGCTGTTATTATGACAATAGTTTTGACCTCATGGGCTCGCTGAGAGTGTCTTGGGAATCCTCAGGGATCCCTGTACTATACTTTGAGAGATGCTGGCATAGAGGAGACTATGCATTGTATAGCTGTGCCTATTGCAAGCAGCAGGGTAAATTTATATTGAGAACAGCCACTGAATCATAAAATATCTGAGCCACAGGTAGTTTTGGATCCTCCTTATTGATTCAAGCCCTTTTCAATTGTCCTGATTGAAACCATACTCTTGGTATTCTGGACAAAATACGTAGAAATGGAATGGTAAAAAATTGGTTCAAAATACTCCCAGTGGTTAAGTAATTAGAAAGCTTATATTTGGAAGAAGTTATAGCAATTACTGGTGGGGGGAAGAACACTTAAAATGATGAGACAAAGAAGTAGCTCTGAGAATATGTGCGAAAGATATGTTTTCCAGGTGCAATACTTTGGCCTGATTAAGAGACCATCACTCTTGTAAGAAGGGTCTGGATACATTGGTTAGTAGAGAGAATTATTATGTCAAAAGAGTTATCATATTATTGTAATTGTAATAGATTATGAAGTTACATATTCATATTCTCATTCCATATTTTACTCGTCGGACTCACAGACTGGAAGGTACCTTGGACCGGAAAGAGGGACTTTCTGGACTAAGAATTGCCACTCCTGTAGCAGCCTACTGCTTAGGCTGCATCTACTGCTCGTATTGTGCTTCATGATGGCCCAGAAAGGTTGGGCTGGCCCAGGGAGTAGTGAAAGTAGAATGGAGAGTCATTAATTATAATTATTAATATTTTTGAATACATTAAAAATTGCTAAATGATTTTAAAATACTGTAGTATATTCATCTACTGAATACATCACTTTATACTCATGTTCTTCCTCACTAAGTTGCAAAGAAATAAATTGTTATTTTACACTTTAGGCACAGTGAACATGGGTCAACTAATCAAAGTGAAAAAATTTGAGAAAAGTAAAAATACCTTTTGCCTTTAACCATAATCTTGTCTCTGCTGCCTTAGCAGTGCTTGAAATCGCTTGTTACAACTCTACTTAAGTACCAGCAGTTATGGGAATCACACTAAAGCCATACTCATGAAAAGACAAGAGAGGATACCACTAAGATAATAGAGAAATCACATATTATTTAGTTAGAGGACAATCGCATATTATTTAGTTATAAAGCCACATTTGAAATCTGGCCATAATGATTAGAGTAGGCCAAAATTAATTTGATTTGAGCCATTTTACACTTAAGGGGACCTTGGTTAAAAGAATTTCAGGAACACAGTTAAAAAAAAAAAAAACAGGGAGAGGGCATAAATTTATTACCAGAAAGGTTAAATGATGTCACACTTTATCACTGTTATAGCAAAAGATGCAGCAAACTGGGTTCAATATAGCCGTCTTTCAAGGCTTGAAAATCTTTCCTTGACATAGCCTAGGCTCGCTCATGGTCTAGACTACATCGTGAAGTCCAGTGGTTAGGTCAGTTAGCATAGTCAGAACAATAGTCTAACCTGAGTTAATCCAAAGAGTGGCAACTAGTTAGGTTGTATTAAAAGCTTGCTTGTTGTAATCGGTTCTCAGCCATATTTTCTCATGTAATACTCTCTGACTGAAAAGAAAGTACTTTGGTTCCTAAACACATTATATACATTTCAGTGTCCTATTCCTTCTCTCAGAATCTGAGTTCTACCACACACACTGCTGGTGTTATAAACCCCTAAAATTCCACCTCTGCAACAATAGTAATCGTCACATATAGTAAGAGTTTAGCTGTGATTTAAGCAAAAGATGAGACACCAATGTCAGATTGTTTTGATAGTGTGATGAATACAAAACTTCCTATTTTAGGGTTTCCCATCTGTTAGAATTAATTAGGATCTGTTAGATAGATATAATTCTGCTGAAATTATGGTTTTTATTGTTTTTATCAAAATATATTGAATAGCTAAAAGAAAAATGAATTTTTATTGTAGCTATTTAAATTTATTTACCTGCATTCAAAAGGCAGGGTATAAAATTTTTCTATTTTAACTTACGTATAGGTTGTTAGTCATTTTATATGGATTGCAATTTCTCTTAAGAGCAGTATTATGTTTTAGTATAAAATATTTTTTGTTTATGAGTTGGTATCTGGATTTTTAAAACACTTTTCTCTATTGATAGAGCACTTCAGAGATACTTATCTCAACAGAAACTTAAAAAGCAAACTTTCTAGAAATGCCTAGGACTGCTATCCAACCAATTATGTCAGCTACATATGCTTAGAGCTTGATTGAGAAAAATCAAGTAGTCAGATAAAATAAAGATTGAGAGAAAGTGAATTAATTTTTTGTTTGAGAAAGTGAATTAATTGAATCATTTAACTTGTAAATCAGTAATAAAGAAAATATCTCTGGTTTATAATGGATATGAAATTTATATCACTTTTAGCTTAGATAGCTCAGATTATAGTTAAAATTGTTCTTTTAATAAGAAAAGATAGAGCTGGAAACAATTTTAAACCTGAAACTTCAGCAACACATGAAGTATACATGGTAGGTATATTTTCTAAACTATAAATATTCAGTGATAAAAGGAAATTATAGTAGCTTTGGTTAGGAATAATATCTTCTAAGCGAAAAAATAAAAATGTTAGAAAATTTAGTAAAGAAGAAGTATTAGAAATCTGAAACATTTTGTTTAAATATCTTGCTGTAAGAAAAGTTAACCATTCTACATAATCTTTCGTAGTTTTAAAGAACACATAAGTGAATATTCGATTCTTGGCTTTTTTTCTATTTTTTTAATCTGTAATGCTCAATAACTTTCTTTTTTAGATCTAATATAGTTATTCTGAACATTTACAAGACTGAACCTAAAAATCATTTTCCATGTTGTTTTCTTAATGTATGCTTAGTACGTTTTTAAAACTTTTTAATATACCTGACAATATACGTGTGTTTTTGCTCCCTCAGTAATCGTGTGGAAGCATGGACAAGAGATGTTGCTTTCGTACTCAGACAAGAAGGCAGACCCATGGTTAATCTTATCCATAATAGGACTAAAGTCAGAGTGATGGAAAGGGATTGGCAGAATACAGACAAAGCAATAAATTGGTTAAGAAAGGAAGCAATTAATTACACTGAACCATTTGTTCTTTACTTGGGATTAAATTTACCACACCCTTACCCTTCACCATCTTCTGGAGAAAATTTTGGATCTTCAACATTTCACACATCTCTTTATTGGCTTGGAAAAGTAAGTAACTACATTGTGTGTGCTCAAAATTAGATTTATATATTTGGCTTATGGGTATTCGCCCATTGTATCTTTTATTATCACTTTTAAAGAAAAATTGAAAATCGTGTATTCAAACTTGACCAATAACTAGTTAGATAAAAACTAAAGGGACAGTTTTACAGAAATAAAATAAGTGTTAAAAGTCAGAAGCGTACTTCTGGATTGAATACATTTGCCAAGGATATGTCTATAAAAAGAGAAACTAAAAGGCATTCTCTTAGAAATGTAGGCCGTCCTCACTTTGCACTGTTCCAGACTGTAAAAATGACCATGCAAGCTGAAACCAGGTAAAACAACCTTAGTAAATGGGAAAAATGACCATTTTCTGGCACCTTTAAAAACATTTATCAAAATATTTTAAATTGTGTCACTTTTGGTTAAAAATGGAAAGGAAAAAATAAACTAATATTTATGTAGTACATAATAGTGAAAATGCTAGAAACACTGAGAATTAAAGCGGGAATTTTTTTGGTTAAAAAAACTTACCAGTAGATTGAAGAGTGCTTGCCTTCTCATCATAAAACTTATGATACAGAGAGAGCATCTTCTCTAAGACTTGGCAAATTGTCATTATTTCTTTCTAAATTTGGATTACCTTCCAACATTTTAGCTTTTGCACTTTCAATGTAATGATATATCTCCAAGTTCCTTTAATGTGAAAAATTTTGCCAATATTGCTTTCTGTGTTGCATCTTTATCTTTTTCTTCACAACAACCTTCCTCATTTATGCTGGTAAATGTGCCTTCACTCAGTTCCTCTGGCTACATTTCTAATGTCTCTTGAATGACAGCAGTGTCAACATTCCCAGCTCAGCTGTTTCTTCTATAACTTCATTTACATTAGATTTGAATTTAAATTCCAGCCTTGTCACTTTTCCTTTTTTTACTCTATGTTCATCTTTGTTGACTTCTCTTCATTATCCCTTTTTATAAAGTGTCACATTAATTTATCACTAGGATACAAGTACATGTTTTGTTGTCTGTGCATGTACCAGATAACTAATCACTGACACATTTTAAAAGAAACATGATTAGTCACTGAATGGCATATGTATCTGTTGTATACTCAGTGATTTATACTAAAGAGCTAGCAGCATATCAGTGTGAAAGTTTGTACTTTTTGCAGTTAGTCACAGTTAACATACCCTGGTAAATGAAGTCTACCAGAGTAATTTTGTTAGGGGACTGCTGTTATTTAACAAAACTGTGATAACTGAAATTTATGCTTATCAAACCACATGATGCATGGTCTACCTGTATTTTGAAATGTGTAATCTTAAATCAATTTTAAGTTGCTTTAAAAACTAATCAGTTAATTCAACTAAAAACCTTCAGAGAAAAGAAATAATCAGCATAGTAAACAACCCACAGAGTGTGAAAAAATCTTCACAATCTATATATCTAACAAAAGACTGATATCCAGAACCTACAAGGAACTCAGAGTAGCAAGAAAAAAAAAAAACCAATCCCCTCAATAAGTAGGCTAAGGACATGAATAGAGCTGGGTGCCGTGGCTCACGCCTGTAATCCCAGCGCTTTGGAAGGCTGAGGCAGGTGGATCACCTAACATCAGGAGCTCGAGACCAGCCAGACCAATATAGTGAAACCCCATCTCTACTAAAAACCAAAAATTAGCGGGTGTAGTGGTGTGCATCTGTAATCCCAGCTACTCGGGAGGCTGAGGCAGGAGAATCACTTGAACCTGGGAGGCGGAGGTTGCAGTGAGCCGAGATTGCACCACTGCACCCCAGCCTGGGCGACAAGAGCGAAACTCCATCTCAGAGAAAAAAGAGGACATGAATAGACAATTCTCAAAAGAAGATATACAAATGGCCAACAAATATATGAGAAAATGCTCAACATCACTAACGATCAGGGAAATGCAAATTGGAACCACAATGTGATACCACCTTACTCCTGCAACAATGGCCATAATCAAAAAAATAAAAATAAATAGATGTTGGCGGGGACGTGGTGAAAAGGGAACAATTTTACACTGCTGGTGGGAATGTAAACTGGTACAACCACTATGGAAAACAGTGTGGAGATTCCTTAGCTAAAAGTAGAACTACCATCTGATCCAGCAATCCCACTACATAGTATCTACTCAGAGGAAAAGAAGTCATTATACGAAAAAGATACTTGCACACACATTTATAGCAGCACAATTCACAATTGCAAAAATACAGAACCAGCCCAAATGCCCATCACTCAACCAGTGGATAAAGAAATTGTGGTGTATAGACCATGAAATAACTACTCAGCTATAAGAAAGGAATGAGTCATTTGCAGCAACCTGGGTGAAACTGGAGACCATTTTCTAAGTGAAGTGACTCAGGAATGGAAAACCAAACATTGTATGTTCTCACTCCTAAGTGGGAGCTAAGCTGTGAGGACTCAGAGGCGTAAGAATAATACAGTGGACTTTGGGGACTGGTTGCGGGAAAGTGCATAGGGGTGAGGGATAAAAGACTACAAATTGGGTACGGTGTATAATGCTTGGGTGATGAGTGCCCCAAAATCTCAGAAATCACCCTAAAGAACTTATTCATGCAGCCACACCTGTTCTCCAAAAACCTACAGAAATAAGAAATAAAAGTTAGTCTAAAAAAACTACTCAGAAACACTATTTAGTCCATCCTATTTTAAATAAAATAATGTCAGTGTTTTAGATACTTTATATCTTCTTTAAAAGTTCTAAGTGGTTTCATTTTCAAAAATTTGTCTGGAGTTATTACTAGCCAAATGAAATCAGTTAAATGACTTTCAACCAAATACTAAGTAAATGAACTTTTTGAAAGTTATGTAACTAAAATATAAATGTGAATTAAAGATCTAGTTTAATTGCTTTTTACCAGCACTGTAAGTAAGCATTTATATGTGTTTAAAAGTCATATTTGTTTTTGACAAGCACTTGCGTATCTCACTAGATATTGTCATTCTTACTAGTGAATTATTAGAGAAAAGGAGTCCATGTTCTTAGGTTGTTGATTCTGAAGTTTTGGTCACACAATTGTATATTAAAGTGCTTGGATACTTTTCTGGACTAGCATGTACTGTCTAATATAGCTCATACTTTTCGGTGGCCTGTATAATTTTTAAAAATTTTACCACTACCTCATGATATATATACAGATATTGATATATACCTTCTGTTGTTATGATAGTATTAAGAATGTGTTCCTAATTTATGTATTGATTTACTATTTTATTTACATATTTACAGCTGTTGTTTTCTACTATTCTAAGTAATTAAACATTGTTGATGTCACCATACATACTTATTGGAGGAAAGAAATAGCACTATTTTGCTAGCATAACTAAGTTTTTTCTCCCATTTTTAGGTGTCTCGTGATGCTATCAAAATCCCAAGGTGGTCACCTTTGTCAGAAATGCACCCTGTAGATTATTACTCTTCTTATACAAAAAACTGCACTGGAAGATTTACAGAAAAAGAAATTAAGAATATTAGAGCATTTTATTATGCTATGTGTGCTGAGACAGATGCCATGCTCGGTAGGTGGTATAATTACTAAGCAATTACATGAAGAAAAAGTATAATATTTTTCCAACAGTCTGTGATCATGCTGCTTGGTGACTTGCATGAACAGCCTCAGATATTTCTTACAACAGTTGCTTATAACTATAGGAATCTTGACACTTATCAAAACTTGATAACTAGCATTGTTGACAGAATGAAAAGCTCTTTATATCTTAATGATTCCGAAATTTGCAGATTCATAAATGCTTAGATTTATTCATACATAAAGAAAGGGTCACAGAAGGCAGTCATCTACTTGAAACGTTTTACTGTCCTTAAACAGGAATCAGTATTCAGCCAAACACAGGTACACATGCGATAGGTATTTGTAAGGCAGCTTAGCTTTCTAGAGATGAGAAAATTTACTTGTAGAATCTTGTGACTCCCCCAAACTTATAATAACCATGAAACAAATTCTTTCTCCCTAAGCCCTTTAGAGCATGGCCTAACTAAAGTTTCTCCATGTATATTCTGGTCCAGAATCATATTGAATTTTCTTCCCTCATTCAAGCTCAAGACCAACTCAAAACTAAACCTGCCGTCATCACATGACTGTCAGGAACGTTTTGCCTGTTCACTTACAGAGCTATGCAAGTTTCCAGTTCATGTGTGGAAAAACCCTGGTTTAAAAATCTGTTTTATAACAAAAGCTATTTTCATAAAGTAGTGTCATTTATTTTGCTACTCTTAGGAATGAAGCATAATTGTACTAGTGAAGTGTAGGTAGCACCTCTTCTGTACAGAGTAAACTTTGGGAGTGACAAGTGAATGTTTTTTGTTAAAAAAATTTATTGGGTAAAAACAGAAAAGTATACAGCAAGAAGCAAAAAGGCCATGTGGGCAAATTATTTATAATATAGCAAGTATAAAAATGTATTGGCCAGGTGCAGTGGCTCACGCCTGTAATCCCAGCACTTTGGGAGGCCAAGGCCGGTGGATCACCTGAGGTCAGGAGTTCGAGACCAGCCTGGCCAACATGGCAAAACCCTGTCTCTACTAAAATACAAAAATTAACTGACTGTGGTGGCACGCACGTGTGAGCCCAGCTACTTGGGAGGCTGAGGCAGGAGAATCGCTTGAGCCCGGGAGACGGAGGTTGCAGTGAGCGAAGATCGTGCCACTGCACTCCAGCCTGGATGACAGAGCAAGACCACATCTCAAAAAAAAAAAAAAACAAAAACAAAACAAAAGTATTCCAAGTACTCAATGCAAATAAGATTTTAAGTAATTTTCTTTAATCATGAGCACATCTGTCAAATTCTATTTCATTGATATTCTCTGATGTTAGAGAATATTCTCCCATTTGCACACTAGAAATTGCATTTGAAAATTTATGGCCATTCATTCATCTATATCCATTAAAATGAAAGAATGTTGCTGTAGGGAGTGTGGGAATACTACTCTTGAAATCTCTTCAGAGAAGAAAAATATGTAGCAACTTGCTTACGTCAAGTTACAAAGTTTATGGAATATATTGTATCTTAATTTTTTTTTTTTTTTTTGAGACAGTCTAGCTCTGTCTCCAGGCTGGAGTGCAGCGGCAGGGTCTCTGCTCACTGCAACCTCCACTTCCCGGGTTCAAGCGATTCTCCTGCCTCAGCCTCCTGAGTAGCTGGGATTATAGGCACACACCGCCATGCCCAGCTAATTTTTGTATTTCTAGTAGAGATGGGGTTTCACCATGTTGGTCAGGCTGGTCTCAATCTCCTGACCTCATGATCTGCCCGCCTCGGCCTCCCAAAGTGCCGATTACAGGCGTGAGCCACCGCACCTGGCCTGTATCTTAATTTTTAAATCTACACCGGTCTTGTCACCATATAGTATTTAATACTGTTCATTGTGTTTGTTAACAACCTACTAGCTGTCAGGCACTATGTTGGGCACTGGGAGGGTATAGTATGTTGAATACTATTAAGAAATCACTCATTAATTAAAGATATTTGTGGCTCACGCCTGTAATCCCAGCACTTTGGGAGGCCGAGGCAAGTGGATCACAAGGTCAAGGGATCAAGACCATCCTGGCCAACATGGTGAAACCCCATCTCTACTAAAAATACAAAAATTAGCTGAGTGTGGCAGTGCATGCTTGTAGTCCCAGCTACCTGGGAGGCTGAGGCAGGAGAATCGCTTGAACCCAGGAGGCAGAGGTTGCAGTGAGTCAAGATGACCCCACTGCACTCCAGCCTGGTGACAGAGCGAGACTCCGTCTCACAAACAAACAAAATTAAAGACATTCTAGGGTCTTTTCCCACCTCAGGGTCTTATATTTTCTGTTTCATCTGCCTGGAACACCTTTCCCTTTGCTTTCTACATGGCTGGCTTGTTCTGTCTTTAGCTCTCAGCTCAGTTGTTACCTCCTCAGGGATGTCTCCCCCAACCACTCTAACTCAGTGTGCCAGCTCCACCATTCTGCTTGCTTTATACCTTGTCATGTTGTTTGCATAGTAATACTAGTTATTTCATCTGTTTACCATCTGTCTCCCTTGAAGAACACAAGCTTCATGAGGGCAGGGACATTCTTTTATTTTTATTTTAAGTTCCAGGGTACATGTGCAGGGTATGCAGGTTTGTTACATAGGTAAACGTGTTACATAGGCAAAAGGTGGTTTGCTGCACCTAATACCCATCACCTAGGTATTAAGCCCAGCATGCATTAGCTATTTTTCCTAACACTCTCCCTTCCCTGACAGCCCCCAGTGTGTATCGTTCCCCTCCCTGTGTTCATGTGTTCTCATTATTCAGCTCCCACTTATAAGTAAGAACACGCAGTGTTTGGTTTTCTGTTCCTGCATTAGTTTGCTAAAGGTAATGGCTTCTAGCTCCATCCATGTCCCTGCAAAGGACATGATCTCATTTCTTTTTATGGCTGCATAGTATTGCATGGTGTATATGTACCACATTTTCTTTATCCAGTCTATTGTTGGTGGGCATTTGTGTTGATTCCATGTCTTTGTTATTGTGAATAGTGCTGCAGTGAACACATGTGTGAATATATCTTTGTAATAGAATGATGTATATTCCTTTGGGTATATACCCAGTAATGGGATTGCTGGGTCAAATGGTGTTTCTGGTTCTAAATTTTTGAGGAATTTCCACACTGTCTTCCACAATGACGGAACTAATTTATGTTCCCACCAACAGTGTAAAAGCGTTCCTATTTCTCCACAACCTCTCCAACATCTGTTGTTTCTAGACTTTTTAATAATTGCCATTCTAACTGGCATGAGATGGTATCTCATGGTGGTTTTGGTTTGCATTTTCTAATGATCAGTGATGTTGAGCTTTTTTTAAATATGTTTGTTGGCCTCATAAATGTCTTTTAAGAAGTGTCCATTGATGTCCTTTGCCCAGTTTTTAATGGGGTTGGTTGTTTTTTTCTTGTACATTTGTTTAAGTTCCTTGTAGATTCTGGATATTAAACCTTTGTCAGATGGATACATTGCAAAAATTTTCTCCCATTTCGTAGGTTGCTTGTTCATTCTGATGATAGTTTCTTTTGCTATGCAGAAGCTCTTTTGTTTAATTAGACCCCATTTGTCAATTTTTGCTTTTGTTGCAATTGCTTTCGGTGAATTTGTCATGAAATGTTTGCCTGTACCTATGTCCTGATTGATATTGCCTAGATTTTCTTCTAGGGTTTTTTGTAGTTTTGAGTTTTACATTTAAGTCTTTAATCATTCTTATTCAACATTGCATCCTAGGTGTTTAGCATCGTGTCCATAGTGTTTGGCATATAGTAAGCACTCAGTAAACATTTATTGATTGAGCATAAATGCTAAGAATTACAATATGTTGTAACTACAGTAATATGCAAGTTGTAGGCATCCTGAAGAACAAAGTGATTTACTCTACCTAGAAGAGCAAGGAATGATGCTTTGCCAGGGAGATAATGCATGTTTGAGCTGGGTCATAAAGGAAGAATAGGAATTTGTTAAGTAGACTGTGGGAGAAACAGCATTCACCATAGATGGCAGAGTATATGCAGAGGCAAGAAAGCGTGAACTAATATGGCGTGTGTTTGGGGGTTCTGAGCAGGTTAGGATTGCTGAAAGGTAAAGGTCTAGCAGGTAGCCGAGGGTGCTGAGTATGGAGAGTGGACAGGGGCCTTGCTTGTTATGCTAAAGAATTCGACAATGGGCAGCTATGAAAAAGTTTCAAGCAGGGATGTGACATGATCAAGTGATTAGGTAATTTAGAAATATAGACACGTGGATAGTACAAGGAGAGGAAAGAGGAGTAGAGGCAAGACCGATTAGGAAGTAATTCCAGTCGTCTAGTTGAAAAATCAAGAGAGTCTCAACTCTGCGAATAACTCCATAGAGCAGTGAGTGTCAATCCTGACTACACCTCAGAATCTGTAGGTTTTTAAATTAATATAGACTCTTCTACCCAGATTCAGGAACTGCCAAAATAGGGATGACTCCTTTCTCTGGCCTGTGCTTTCTTGTGATTCTCTTAATTACAGTAGGAGGAAGTTTGAGAACAGTGAGACTGGAACTGGTCAGAGCAATTTTACTGTCCCATTATTCCCTATCCAAGAAGATGCTAAATCAAACTTGTACACTGCCTGTCCTGCTTGCAGCCCTTCTTCAAAGGTGGGATTTCCGTAATCCTCAGCCACCTTTATGAGCATGATCTGGTGATTGCCTAGAGATTTGGGAGAAAAAGTAGCAGAAAAGAGGAGTTCTGACTGCTCTTATCACTTCCTGTTGCACAGAAACTGTGGGTCAGAGGTGATACCAATCTTTTTTATCATCTGAGACATGTGAAGTACTGATATCCGACTGATCTTTCTTTTCTCACTCAAGGCACTAAGGGGAAGATTTTTTTCCTTTATTCTCTGATAGAAACCTAGAAGGCAAGCCAGCATGATCTCCAGATAAGCAGCTTTGAGCAAGAGTTCCCATGGGTATTATATTTTCTTCTTCCTCGCTAGTCAGCTGAAGAGCAAGCAGTAGACAGACCACTGTCTACCTGAGACTTAACTTGAGAATAGTAGGTAATATTCAGATGTTAAAAAGCATAGTGACAAGCCCTTATAGGGTAGAGTTGTTATAAACTTAATGGGATAGAATAAAACATGAACTGAAAGCTAATTAATGGTTTTATCATGATTTCTATTGAAGGTGAAATGATTTTGGCCCTTCATCAATTAGATCTTCTTCAGAAGACGATTGTCATGTACTCCTCGGATCACGGCGAGCTGGCCATGGAACATCGACAGTTTTATAAAATGAGCATGTATGAAGCCAGTGCACATGTTCCGCTTTTGATGATGGGGCCAGGAATTAAAGTCGACCTTCAGGTATCAAATGTGGTTTCTCTTGTGGATATTTACCCTACCATGCTTGGTAAGTAATGCAGTTCTGTAAATATGTATTTGTAATAATGCTGGAGAATGCAACTGAAGAGGTCAATTAGTCAGTCTTTCAGTTAATAGTCAGAGGTCCTGCTGACTTGTTTATAACCCTGAGCAACTCATTTAACTGTGAGTCAAATCTGTACTCTGAAGAGGAGATGGTTTTTCATGTCCCTGTGTCCTTCACTTACTATAGTGATTTTCCCTCAAAAGATTTGTATTCAGGATATGACTGTAAAGTAAGCCATGTAAGACATTCAGGTTCATAACCTTATAGATATGATTTGTACATCATTTGATTCTCTACCACCACCTCCCTAAAATGTAAGCATTTCCTTTCTGAATTATTCTATCCACTTTGAGACTAGTATGAACATATTCCTCCTCAGACTCTTTAGATAGTTCTGTACTATTTGCTTTACTAGCTTCTTAATGTCTACAAGCATAGCCATATGTCTAGAAAAGCAACATATGGATAACGGTAGTTAGCAGTTTTTGTTGAAGATACTAGAATAACGACATAATCAAATTCAAAGGAAATCATAGAACTAACTTCTAGTTTCTATCTAATTTAGCAGAGTACTTTAAATTCACTAGCATTTAAACACCAGTTTCTCTGTTCTAAGCACCATCAGTTGCAAAACTACCATCAATTCATAAATTTTGGTGAAAGAAAATAGCACAAGATATATTCTCTAATTTCAGAAATGTTAAAATGTGAAAGAAAGATGCATCTTAAAATCAAAGAAATCAGAGTTCTTTTTATCTCCTTCCTTCTGCCGCAAAGTTCTTCCCTTAACTAAATTTATTTAGAGTCAATTTAAACCGGCGTCCTTTCCTTTTCTCTTATTTCATATCCTTCTCATATAATTGAACATACTTCTTTCCAGTTCCTTGAACTTTTTTATTTTTATTTATTTATTTTGTGTGTGTGTGATGGAGTTTCTCTCTTTCACCCAGGCTGGAGTGCAGTGGCGCGATCTCAGCTCACTGCAACCTCCGCCTAACAGTTTCAAGCGATTCTCCTGACTCAGCCTCCTGAGTAGCTGGGATTACAGGCACCTGCCACCATGCCCAGCTAATTTTTGTATTTTTAGTAGAGACGAGGTTTCACCATGTTGATCAGGCTGGTCTCAAACTCCTGACCTTATGATCTGCCCACTTCAACCTCCCAAAGTGCTAGGATTACAGGCGTGAGCCACTGCGCCTGGCCAGTTCCTTGAATTTTTAATCTCTTCTGTTTCTTAGTCATCATTTGCTGGTTTCCCTTTATCCCAAAGTAATGATCACACTCAGCCATATCTTGGCCACTTTCTCATTCCATTAGTTTCTAGCCGATCACTATTACTTTTCCTCATTTCTGTGTTTTTTTAAAGAAGTTTATATAGAATTATGTATATTTGGGTCTCTGCTATTAGCATCTTTAGAGTTTTATGAATATATGCCTATATTCTTTACAGTTTCCTTCCTTAATTTTTCTTCATGTAGAACTCTCTCTGCCCTCCCCATTCCCAAAGAAAATCTTTCCTAGGGTCATCTTTGCTTGACTTTTTAGCCTCATTCTGTTTTCTTGAGGTATAGTGACCAGAACTGCAAGAAGGTATTGTAAAAGATTATGGAAAGCTGGGGTGATTCTTTCTCCATTTTTCCCTCAATATATTTCATAGTGATAGTTGCCATTTTATCTATTTGACTCTAGCAGCTAAATAGTTAAATATCTTTAGAGAGTTGTCTACAGTAAGCCCTATTCAATTCTTAGACATTCTGTCATCATATATGTCAGTTAATTAAAATGCATGGTTTAAATCATTTTTCTTTAAACATTATTTTATATTTGCCCACAATGCAAATTTTGTACTCTACAATCTTGAGAAGATACCATTATTACTTCTTGCCATTTTATACATTGTAAAAGTTAAAGGTCATCTGCGAACTAGCAGATTTCATAATTTAACAGGTCAGATAATAAAATGCTAAATAAAATTTGTTAGAATGGGGAAATTCTCATGCATCCACCTATCACTGCCTAATTTATGTTACTTGCTAATAAGAATTTCTCTAGCTAAGAAAATACTGTCTCAGAAGCTCTTCTAAATTCCATCCCTACTCTTCTGTAAATGATGTAAATTCCCTGCAACTGTAGGTTTTTTCCTGCAATTTGTCAATTATTTTAGAAAAAATAATTTTCTAAAACTATAGTTTTATATAGATTTTTATTTTTCATAAGATTCTTGGTAATAGACTCCTTCTGAGTCACATTTCCCTGCAGAATATGTTTTATTAACAGCATTTAGATCATGTGTTGATTAGACCTCCCCAATAAGAGTAAAGGAAATAAAGTCAAAAATAAATCTCTCCAATTCTAAACTGAAAAATTAACATCTTCGTTGCTTAGCACAGTTTATAATGTGTTTCACAATAAATATTATTTTTATTATCAGACGAAGGAAAGCTACATTTAAATGATTTTTTTTAGTTGGGGAAGAGTGAGTGGAGGAGAATACCTTTGGATGGGTCTTTATATAAAACACTGAAACGTTCTATTAACCAGATGTTAACCAGTGATAATGGTAGAAAGAGAACAATGCAAAAGAGCCTTATGCTGGAGCCAGGAGACAACATTGTAACACAGTTATTTACTTAAGTTAATCTTTTTATAAATGATAAAGGTGTAATATTCATAGAGCTCTTATAAATCTGTAAGAAGAGGAATACCTTATTAACAGATGGATCAAAATAAGCAATTCACAACAGAAAATACACACAAATGGCCAATATATTTTTAAAGAATCAAAGTCGGTGGTCATAAAAATATTAAAAGAGAAAAATATTCTTCTTTCACATATAAAGTTTGCAAAGGTTAAGAATAATTAGAAAATCTTATATTAGAAATAGTCTTTCTCATGTGCTGCTACTGGGAATATAAACCGATACAAATGTTTTGTAGGCAAATGTGGCATTACGTTTCAAATTTCTTAGAAATGTGCATACGTTTTGACCTAGAAATCCTAATTTTAGGAAATAACCTGTAGATATACACAAGTATTTATCTTCATGGATATTTATTACTATATTAAGAATTAGAAACAATATGAATATCTAGTAGTAATGGATTGGATAAAAAATAGGCAATTCTAATGCAAATCAAAACCACAATGAGATATCATCTTGCAACAGTCAAAATGGCAATTATTAAAAAGTCAAAAAACAACAGATGTTGGTGAGGCTGCAGAGAAAGGGGAACACTTATACAGTGTTGGTGGGAGTGTAAATTAGTTCAGCCACTGTGGGAAGCAGTTTGGAGATTTCTCAACAAACTTAAAACAGCTACCATTAGACCCAGCAATCCCATTACTGGATATATACCAAAAAATACATAAGTCATTCTACCAAAAAGACATGCACTTGCAGCACTATTCACAATAGTAAAGGCATGGAATCATCCTAGGTGCCCATCAGTGGTGGACCAAATAAAGAAAATGTGGCACATATACACCATGGAATACTACAAAGCCATCAAAAATGAAATAATGGCCTTTGCAGCAACATGAATGGAGCTGGAGTCCATTATCCTAAGAAAATTAACACAATAACAGAAAACCAAATACCGGATGTTCTCACTTATAAGTGAGAACTAAACATTGGTTACTCATGGACATAAAAATGCCAACAAGAAACACTAGGGACTACTAGAAGGGAGAAGGAGGGAGGGAGGGGGCCAGAGGGCCAGAGGTTGAAAAACTATTGGGCACTATGCCCAGTACCTGAGTGATGCAATCATTCATATCCCAAACCTCAGCATCAAGTAATATACCCAGGGAACAAACCTGCACACATACCCACTGAATCTAAAACGTTGAAAAGAAAAAGTCAATTAATTTTAAAAAGTGAAATATGTGAAAATTGCCCCCATGTATTAAAAAGAAAATGAAGCCTTTAAAACTGTACAAATTGATGTTTGTGTTTTGTTTTGTTTCCTTTTTAGATATAGTGTCCATCTAATTTACCGTCCAAATTAGCAAGTTTTTAGAGTACTATTAACAATTGAAACAGCATTAACAGGCAGAAAGTGAGGCTGTTCTTTATTTAACAGCCTTAGGAGCCAGCAAAACAAAGATCATTCTGACAGTCTACGTTTAATCTGATGGATCATTCTACCTTTTAAGATAAAATTCCTCAGTGCTGGAAGAGTTTAAAGCACTTTATTAGTGATTAACTCTAAAATTAGACCTGTGAGACACTATGTTCTACTTCTGCTTAATAAACAAACTTATACATGTTTTGATAAAACATCTACAAAGGACTTCTTATTTTGTTCTAACCAATTAGGAACTTAAAATAGATATAAGCCAGTATCTATTCTTAGAGCTCCCAAAGTCCTTTCTTTATTAGCTTAGCAGTAGCTATATTATTTTGTGTGAATCCCATTTACACACACACAGAGGAGAAGCTTATAAAGAAAAATGATATAAAGAGAAAAATTTGTTTTGAAATTGATTTTTCAAGGATAAACTTTGCTTATAGTATATTTGAGTTTTAAAATATTTGAGTCTTCTGGAAACTAAAAATGAAATTAAAATCCTGAAATGTCTGTTGAACAGAAATAAACACTTCTGGTATCAAAAAAAAAAAAAAAAAAAAATCTCAACCCAAAACCTCAAGCGATATTTCCTCCTCACTTCCATTCTATGCATCTTAGAAATGTATAAAAGATGGTTATTCTACATTCAATAGAAAGATACTGAATAGGAAAAACCAATTAGAATTCCTGTTTTAATAAACCTACCTTACTATCAAGAGGCTATTGAAATTTAAGATGCAACAATGCTTTATTTAAAAGTTTGAATTTACAAGTCATTTTTTAAAAGGTATTTTAAAAGAGTGGTTTTTTAAATAAAATATTTTATGATAAATTAGGACGAATGTGCTTAGTTTGTGCTTTTGGATCAAATAAACTAATTCTATCACTAGTGTGATAGGATACTATTACATTATTATTTCCTAATACCAGCAGAAAAATGACATTTATGAATAGGAATTCTTTATAATATTAACATTAAAGTTGATATTATTTCTGAGATTATTTAAAAATTACTTCCCAAAATATTTTCTTCTCTAATACCTTGTATCAGCATCCTTTAGCTCAGTAAGAACTAAAGGTGTCTCATTTTGTAGTTAAAATTGTTTTGATTTTTATTTTTAAGCTTATTTTCATGTGAATTGTTTTCTGTAATAGTCTTTCTGTAAAACACCTGTCTTTCTCCACTTAAAAGATAAGTCTAGATTTTTTTAATTTTGAGAATGTGATTATATAAAAATGCAGTTGTAGTTAAAAGAATGTTTCATTGCTAGTGATTTAAATTTCAAAACCCTTCTTGTTACAGGACCTTAGTGGAAGCCTGGGGGTTGGCAGGTGTTTTGCATAGATTCTTGTGTTTTTATTGGCTGAGGAATATTATGAAGTTAGCTAACTACAGTGAGGCAAGTCTTATGGTGTAGTATTAAACAGTACAGATATTGTAAGGTCAGACTGCCTAAGTTCAAACCCCTCTTCACTCGTTACCAACTGTGTAACCTTGGGCAGGTTACTCAACATGTCTGGTCTTCAGTTTTCTCATCAGTAAAAATGGGGATAGGCCAAGCTTGGTGGCTTACGGCTGTAATCCCAGCACTTTGGGAGGCCAAGGTGGGCAGATCACTTGAGGTCAAGAGTTCAAGACCAGCCTGGTCAACATGGTGTAACCCTGTTTCTACTAAAAATGCAAAAATCAGCCGGGCGTGGTGACGTGTGCCTATAATCCCAGCTACTCAGGAGGCTGAGGCAAGAGAATCACTTGAACCTGGAGGCGGAGGGTGCAGTGAGCCAAGGTCGTGCCACTACACTCCAGCCTGGGTAACAGAGTGATGCTCTGTCTAAAAAAAAAAAAATATGGGGGTAATAGTGGCTATTCATAGTTCAGAACAATGCCTGGAACATAGTAAACAATTAAATGTTAGATATGGTTATCATTAATATGTTTCATTCTTTTTAGGTATGCTCTAAAAAATGTGTATATTAGTTTGCATCATTGCCATACCACTCAAATCCATTATGTACTGATATGGTCAAGAAGAAATATAATATCATCTCTCTTCAGGAAATCATTACACATATCCAGGCCTGCATTTTTACCATTTGTTTACTGTTTTACATTTAAGTCACTTTCTTAAGAACCCTGCAGTTACTTCTAGTCTGTGCTTATACTCCCACGAAAGATGAAACTTATTTAAAATGGAGTTAGAATGACAGGTTTGCCAGGAAAAATAAATATGAAAAATGATTTTAAATAAAAATCAAACAGCTTTTTGAAAAGCAGTCTAAGCTAAAGTGTTTTTAAGGAAATTATTGATAAATATATGAAAAATGAAAACCCAATTTTCTGAGGCACAGAAAAACCAATAAATACTTGAAGTATTTATTAAATATTATGGATATTTCACATGGGTTTTTTTCAATTTACAAAGTTATTTTATTCTATCAATAATAGACTGGAATCCTAAGTTCCCCTTATCTCTTGCCTGGATTCCTGCAGTAGCTTCCTAACTCTCTCTGACCTTCTGCCCTTACTCACTTTTAGTCAATTCACCATTCCATAGTTAGTGTCAGATTGTCACACCTCTGCTCAAAACCCTCTACTGATTTCCCATTTCACCTAGAGTAAAAATTCAGTGTCTTTAATTAGGCTCTGAGAGTCCAACATGATCTCTTCTCTTTCCCAACTCATCTCTTATAATTTTATCCCTCACTTACTCTGCTCCAGCCTAACAGTCCTGCTTGGTGTTTGAGGAATAAACCAAGTAGTTTCCTGCCTTGGGGACTGTACACTTGCTATTCCCCTGGGGGAGTGCCCTTTTCCCAGATAACTGTGGGGCTCACTCTAACTGCTCCTCGGGACACTGCCTAAATGTGACCTTCTGAGCGGGACCTTCCCTGACCACCCTATATAAAACAGCACATACCCACGTGCCTGTCATCACTCTCTGTCTCCCTTACCCTGCTTTCTTCTTCTTCATTGCACTTACCACCATCTGACGCAGCTGTTTCTGTCTGCCCACATTAGAACGTTAGCTCTGGGAGAGCTTTTCTGTGTTGTCCAGTGTCGTTTTCCTACAGCTAGAACAGCACCTGGTTTGCTGAATGAATTTTAAAAATGAACACTTGAATGGACTCTTACCCAGTTTACTACTGACTTCTTATAAACACAGGAGAAACGTAAGTTTCTTAGTCTTCCAAGCTTCGTTAGAAAAATTAAAAATGGTCCTAAAATAAGGCATTTCTAAGTATTAAGAGTTATTAAAAGGCTGAATACAAGAACTCATAGTCATGAGTATGTGCCCGTTGGTTCCTGCTTCCCAAACTTCCTTAAAGACTACTTCTCTCTCTTCCCGTGCCTTGCTGGTGGTGCCTCCTGATGGCTGACACACAGACCACCCTTACCCAGCCTCTTCCCACACTGCCTTCTTTCCACTGCTTACAGTAGGTAGTCTCTGTGTCTTGGAGCACAATTAGTTTGACCCAGGCAACCCTTCTCTCCCGGGCACATCCTCTTTAACCTCTTTTCTCCTCTTTTTGTTTTTAACCAGTCATCTCTGAAATACTCCTCTCTTCTTTCTTTGCTTATCTCTGAACAAAAAAAAAAAAGTCACTAATTTTGATTGGTTGGCAGAAAATTAATACTTGTGATAGTCTTCTTCCAAGGAAAATGGAAGATACAAACTTTTATTAAGTTATATATGAAACAACTACCTTCAGAAGATTTGTAGTGGTCTTTGTCTACTTCCCTATTATCCTTTAATTAACCTGTTTTTATCAAAGACAGTCAAGTTAATTTTTCTTATTCAACTTTGTTTCATTTCTAACATTATAGATATAATTCTATTTTTCATTGGAAATATTTATGCATAAAATACGAACATTGAAACCAGAAAAGGGCTGGGGAAGACAACTGCAGACTCATTTTGAAATAGCCCTGACTACACAGACATAATTAATGGTAATTTTTCTATAGGAAGAGGGAAGTTTAAGGTCCAGTTACCTTGAAAGCAATTTTTTAAAGTATAAGCTATTTTTCAGTTGAGCATTTCTCATGCTATTGTTCTATATGTCTATATCTGGTAAGTTAAAAATAATTTTTCCCTTTATAAATATAATCCACAATTCCTGAAAGTATGTTTTTCAAGATGGAAGTCCCTCAAGATGCTACTTGAAAGTTTAAAAAGCTCTGTTATCAAATGACTTTGGGGCTCATGGTATACTATATACCACTCCTGAAGGTTTATCATAGACATCAGCAATAAATTTACATCTACAACAAATTTATGTATTTAATTTTGTTTAACCATTGTTTTGCAAACATATATGACTACTAAACCCCCTTCTTGTATGTCTTGTTAATATCCCATGAAAGAAACTTTGAGAAACAACTATGATTATTTAATCATTTAGCGAAAAAAGGACTAGTGATATTAATTATTTGTTGAAGGCTCCTGTCTGCCAGGCATTGTTCTCAGAGTTCTTAGAATTTTACATAAAGTATCTTATTTAAACCTAAAATGAACCTAATAAATACAAGTACTGTGGTCATCCCCTTCTTACAGACGAGAAAACTGAGGTTGAGATAAGTAAATGCCTTGCTGAAGTCCACATGGCCAGTGGGGTAAGCATGTGAATCTTGGCAGTCTGTTTACAAAATCCATATACAATCTCCAGTCTCCATGGCATTTAATGGTATGCAAAAAATGTGAATGATGCCATTTGTGAATGTTCAGCTAATAAAAGGATGAGCTATTTTAAGATATTTGGTTATTTTTGTTACATAGATATTGCTGGAATTCCTCTGCCTCAGAACCTGAGTGGATATTCTTTGTTGCCATTATCATCAGAAACATTTAAGAATGAACATAAAGTCGAAAACCTGCATCCACCCTGGATTCTGAGTGAATTCCATGGATGTAATGTGAATGCCTCCACCTACATGCTTCGAACTAACCACTGGAAGTATATAGCCTACTCGGACGGCGCTTCAGTATTGCCTCAACTCTTTGGTAAATGTGTTAATAGATTTTTAAGTGTAATATTATGTGTAATGAACTGCCCTATGTAGCATTGCTCAAGATATCCAATAATCCTTGTTAAATAAATGAATATCATCTGCTGCTTGTCATGTAGGACTATCTACAAAGGGTTGCCCACGTGAGGAACAGCCTCTTTGCAGATCAGCAGCTGAATTTCAGAGAAAGCGTCCTAAGGCTTTTGATCTGGGTCTCATGACTGAAACCAGTTTTCTCTGATCAGGGCATCTTTCAGTACTCATGGTTATCTTTCCCAATTAGAAGTCAACACCTCATTGTACCTCATTGTTCTAAAGGATTAACAACTATCTTATGAAGGCTGACATTTTGCATATATGATTTAATGTTCACCACAACCCCACAAGATAGTGCCATTATCCTCATTTTACAGAGGAGACTAGGAGTCACAGAAATTTGGATACCCATGTGAGGTCTCACAGCTAAGAAGCAGCAGAACTGAGATTTCAATGAAGCTGTGACTGCAAAATTGATACTTCTTATAACTTCTAAAAAATGTCTGCCAGCTTCACTACTCTATGAATTAATTTTTAAACAGCATTTTTAGATTTAGGGTTTTACTTATCCTTTGTCCCCAGTTGGTACATAAAATATGTGCTAAAGCCATTAGTAATATTTATTTCTCCCTAAGGCTCCTTCCCAGTTACAAATAGCAAAATTATTATCAAAATAATACTTTGGGAGCCAAACTGGCCAACCCCTTCACTTTAAGAGTGGAGGATTCTTGGCTGAAAAAGGAAGTCTTGACATTTTCATCCTGATGAATAATGTGCATCTCTTGCTTGTTCATTGGCCATTCTCAGATGAAATTTATGGGAGGCCATTGTTTTGAACTGAGTTCCTACACCAGGCTCAACCGACCAAGTCAAACCAGAATGGGGTCACTGGCAGTTAGGTGCTCCATAATCAAACCGAACTTTAGAGTGGGCGGGCCACTTTAGCCAAAAAAAAAGAATCACAATAACCAACTTGAAGGGGCTCATTTTACCTGAACCAGCATAAGGAAGTTTCCTCTGTTTTTACTGGATAAAGAAAGTAACACTATAATGACGAATCTGCTTTTTGTTCCATGTTTCTGGGACTTTTTCGTCAGCCTTTTTCTTCCTATAAAGCTCACCTCCTCTGCTCAGCTCATCAGAATGCCTTTTCTAAATCTTTAGATGGGATGCTGCCCAATTCATGAATCACTAATAAAAGCCAATTTGATCTTTAAATTTGTTGAAATTTTGTTTTTTATACCATGTTCTACCAAAAAACTGATGTGACTATCAAAATGTCAGAAGTGGGGAATCAGCTTTTCTGTACTTTTTAGGGCTTACTGATTTCCCTTTCCTAAAGATATGCCATCTGAAATTACCTAGCAAAGTCACATATCTCTTCAAGGGCCTCTTGGCTAATGTACTTAAGTAGGCCATAGGGGATTTTCCCTCAACATACAGTGTTCATTTACTATCTGAAGTTAATTGTCATAAGATCTCTGACTTGCTGTTTTTCCAATTAGATTGGTATCCTAGTTATATCCCTGCCTTCCTACACCATATCTAAAAAGTGTATTTATGGATCTGAAATATTTATCATTATTTTATTGTAGGCAGTGATTGAGAAGTTTGTATTTCCATGGTTGTTTGTTCAAATGGACAGTACTGATGAATGTAACTTTCAAAACTCCAAGCATAAGATACTAATATATAAAGAAAACTAGGATTAAGTAAAGCTGCAGGAACATGACTTGTCTATATAAAGAATTTGTAGAAAGTTTGAGGCTGTTGAAACGGTACAGTATAAGCATTACTATATTCATTTCTGCCTGTCAAAGTAGGCAGGACATCTAAAACAGGAAGAACTTGTTCTAAACCAGCTTACTAATGATAAAAGGTTGACTTTTTCTGGCATTTGAGAAAAGAAAAAAGAAGTAGGATAGCTGGACAATGGTAATAAGGAGGGAATTTGGGCATGCAACATAGGGTGTTTAACTCCTGGTATGTTATTTTACCATTTATACTGTCCTTCATTTTATTACACTAACAGGAACTGAAAATCTTTTTTAAAATCTAATAGATTACCTGTCATAATGACATTCTAAAAATTTTTTTGGCAGGTCACTATTTTGACAGATATTTAATTTTTTTCTTTCAGATCTTTCCTCAGATCCAGATGAATTAACAAATGTTGCTGTAAAATTTCCAGAAATTACTTATTCTTTGGATCAGAAGCTTCGTTCCATTATAAACTACCCTAAAGTTTCGGCTTCTGTCCACCAGTATAATAAAGAGCAGTTTATCAAGTGGAAACAAAGTATAGGACAGAATTATTCAAACGTTATAGCAAATCTTAGGTGGCATCAGGACTGGCAGAAAGAACCAAGGAAGTATGAAAGTGCAATCGATCAGTGGCTTAAAACGCATATGAATCCAAGAGCAGTTTGAACAAAAAGTTTAAAAATAATGTTCTAGAGATACATATATATCACAAGATCATAATTATGTATTTTAAATGAAACAGTTTTAATAATTACCAAGTTTTGGCCAGGCGCAGTGGCTCACACCTGTAATCCTAGGACTTTGGGAGGCAGAGGCAGGCAGATCACAAGGTCAAGAGATCGAGACCATCTTGGCCAATATGGTGAAACCCCGTCTCTACTAAAAATACAAAAATTAGCTGGGCATGGTGGCACACACCCGTAGTCTCAGCTACTCAGGAGGCTGAGGCAGGAGGATCACTTGAACCCAGGAGGCAGCAGTTGCAGTGAGCTGAGATCGCGCCACTGTACTCCAGCCTGGCGACAGAGTGAGACTCCGTGTCAAATAAATAATAATAAAATAATAATAATTACCAATTTTTCATTACTTTGTAAGAATGTAGTGTATTTTAAGATAAAATGCCAGTGATTATAAAATCACATATTTTCAAAAATGGTTATTATTTATACCTTTGTATAACTTCTAACAATTTAGTGGAAGTATCAAAAGGATTGAAGCAAATACTGTAACAGTTATATTCCTTTAATAGAAAATATAAAATATTGTAATAGTAATAATATTTATCATAAAACAGTTGTGTGTGAGCATTTGATGGTGCTTGATGAGTTATTTGTATTCGATGGGACTGTTTGGATGTATTTCATGGGAGTATCTGGAGTATTTAACAGGATGTAAACCCTGAATGTACCTGATTTTACTACTGTTTTTTTTTTAATAGGTAATATATATACAGGGTAAAAACTTCAAATGGTACAAAAGGGTTAACAGTGATCATGAAGTCTCTATCCTTTCTGTCTTCCCTGCCATCCAGTTCCCCCTCCAAGAAGCAAGTTCCGAAACCACCTGCTTACGCATTTTTAGAGATTGGCCACAAATTTGTTACTAAATGTATATATTCCTTTCCCCCTACACTAACGGTAACATACTGCACGCATTGTTCTGCATGTTGCTTCTTTTTCCTTTTTTTTTTCACTTGACAGTAGATATCTAGAGGTGAAATTACTGAGTCAAGACTATATTTAGCAAAATTACACTAGATACTACATATTACCTCTAAAGAAGGTATACTAACTGAGAATCTCACCATCAATGCATGTCTTCTTATCCTTTGCCAACCTAACAGATAAAAATATTCTGTGTTTATTTTTCTTATGATGAGTAAAGTAGATCATATTTTCATGTATTTAACAGCCATTGGAATCTGCTTTACCATGGCCTTTCCTATTTCTATTCTTTGCCTAATTTTCTGTTGGTTGTTGGTCTTTGTTTTGTATTACAGGCGTGCTTTAGATATTAGCTTTTTGTAAGAGATCCTGCAAATATTTTCTTTCTAGTTTGTCATTGTCAATTTTCTTCTGAGTTTGTTCTGGTATTTTTTGATACGTAGAAATTTTTATTTTCATGTAAGCAAATTTATGAATCTTTGTACCCCATAAATATATACAATTATGATTTGTCAATTAAAAATATTAATGCAAAATTTACAAATCTTTGCTTTTTTGGCTTTTAGGATTTTATATCATATTTAGAATTGCCTTCTCCACTTGTCTTTTTTTTTTTTTTTTTTTTTTGAGATGGAGTCTCGCTCTGTCACCCAGACTGGAGTGCAATCGGGTGATCCTGGTTTCAAGTGACTCTCCTGGCTTAGCCTCCCTAGTAGCTGGGATTACAGGCACCCACCGCCACATCCGGCTAATTTTTTGTATTTTTCAGTAGAGACGGGGTTTCACCGTGTTAGCCAGGATGATCTTGATCTCCTGACCTGGTGATCTGCCCACCTCAGCCTCCCAAGTGCTGGGATTACAGGTGTGAGCCACTGTGCCCAGCCTCCACTTGTCTTCTCTTAGAATTTTAGTTTTCACCTTTGGATCTTTGACCCAGCTGGAACATATTAAACATATTAGAAATCTAACTTTAGTTGTTTTTTTTGATATGCCTACCCATTGGTCTTTTATTGAGTAAACTGTCTCTTCTCACTTTCATCATATAATACCTTTGGTTGAATACATTATCTTTTCCCCCATTGATTTGCAATGCCATTTTTATCTATACCAAAGTCCCATTTATACTTATGCCATTTCTGAACAGTTTATTTTGCACTGGACCATTTTGTTTTTTTGTTTCTGTTTTGTTTTTGGTTTTTTGAGACAAGGTCTTGCCCTGTCACTCAGGCTGGAATGCAGTGGCACAATCACTGCTCACTGCAGCCTCAATCTCATAGGCTCAGGTGATCCTCCCACCTCAGCCTCCCTAGTAGCTGGGACCACAGGCACACACCACAAAGCCCAGCTAACTTTTAAAATTTTTATAGAGACAGGGTTTCGCTATGTTGCCCAGACTGGTCTTAAACTCCTGAACTCAAGCAACCTGACTGCCTCAGCCTCGCAAAGTGCTGGGATTACAGGTATGAGCCACCACACCCAGCCAGACCAGTCTATTTTTTTAGTGTGGTAGACTAGTCCCTTTGCAATAGTTTTCTTTTTTCAGAATTGTCCTTCCTAGCAACTCTTGATTTTTCCATACAAATTTAGAGTAAGTCTGTCTAGTAACAAAAATGGAAATTTCTGTTGGCCTTTTAAATGAAATCATTAAATGTATAGCCTACTTTAGAGAGTATTTAATTCTTTATGATAGTCATTCTAAAGAATTAGTATGTTTTTCCCTTTATTCAAGTCTTCTTTTATATCCCTCAGTAGTAGTCTAAGTTTTCTTCATATAGATCAATTTTTTCGTAAAAAAATTTGAAAAGCAGGGACTTTAAAAAATACCCTCTAGGCCCTACGCTACACCAGTTGATTAGAGCTTCTGAGAGAGCCTGGGCCTGCTGTTCTATTACTGTTGTCTTGCTGGTCAGTCCCTCCAGCCATGATTCTAATGTGCAGCCAGAGGTAGGTTTATTTCCAGTTGTTTTATCAGTTACTGTAATTTTAAGTGACTCTTCCTTCCATTATATCCTCTAAGGGAAGATCTTGTTTATATGTGCACTCCATTTCCACATATTTATTTTGTGCTGAACCACTTCATAGTAAGTAATAGTTTTTCAAGTGATAGATTATTTTCCATGTAAAAATCTTACCTGCAAATAATTTTACCCAACTTAATACTTTTTCAAACTGTCTTTGAAGTTTTCTTCATGAGTCAGTTCATCTCTTATTTATTTGTTTATCGTTCTTCAGTGAATTTATATGAGCTTACCTTTGTAATTATGAATTTCTGGGAAATAATTTTACTTTTGAACATATCTGATTTTGATTACATATGTATATACACATGCATATACACACACACACACACACACACACACACACACAGATTCTGAAGTGAAACCCTTAATAAAAAAGACCGAGTATTAAGGTTAAAATTAAACTATACAAATCCACCATCCATCTCCTAATTAAGCCTAACGAACACAAGTAGCTAAAGTATGGGTGTATATGCTAATAATAGAGAGAAAAACAATAATAATAGAAATGTGGTCCTGAAAACAGGCTTGTGAAGATAAATCTGCTTCATTCTACCCAAACCCTTTAAGATACACATTCACTGTAAGAATTTACCAAGCATCTGCCATGTTTTAAGCATATTAAGTATAGGATCATAATTAGGTACAATTGAATATTCAGGATAATATCTCATTCAGAATGATATCTAACAATCATGAAAATCAAAAATTAAGAAAACCTTACAAAACCAAGACAAATATGCCAGAATCTGAGAGGAACTGACACTAATTAGAAGCTGGAATGAGAATAACCTTTGGGCTTCCATTTTTACTACCTCCACGACTCACTTCTTGTTCTAATCTACCATGACCTGTGCTTGGAATTTTGCAGTTGACTCTTAAGAGGTCTCCATGAGGTCTGTCCTTGGCTTTCTTCAGTCTGTTCTCAACAGCAGCTGGAGTGAGCCTGCCAAAATACAGATCACACCCCTGGATACTCAAAGCCCCCACTGGTTTCCCATCTTTTTCTTAAAAGCCAGAGTCATTACAATAGCCTATGGGCCCTAAATAATCTGGTAGCATGTTCTCTCTAAGACCGCTTGTCCTCCTCTACTCCTGCCTGATTTACTGTGCTCCAGCCACCTGCGTCCCTGTTGCTTTCCAGACAGACACACCAGGCATGCACCACCAAGACCTCTTTGCACGCGTCAGTTTTTGCTGCCTGGAGTGCAGTTCTTCCTTCAGATTTTTTCATGGCTCACTGTTATTTCCTTGGTGACATGGCTCAAATGTCACCATCTCACAAGGACTTTCCTGCTTTATTTTTCTCCATAGAAATTATTACCATTTAACTTAGTGTGTCTTTTACATAATGAATGTGTTTGAGCTGTCTTTTACCCTTCCTGACCCTACTAGAATAAAAACTCCTAACAGTCATGGCATTTTGTCCCTTTTCTCCATAAAGTATCTCAAATGCCTAACACATAGTAGAAGCGTAGTAAATACTTGTTGAATTAATTTACTGGGAATTACAGCTTTCCAAGTATCACATTAGTTTAGAAAAACAACACATTTGGGCTGTAGCAGGGTGGGGAGTAAAAGGGAGTAGCCTTTTTTCTTTTCTTTTCTTTTCTTTTTTTTTTTTTTTTGAGATGGAGTCTTGCTGTGTCACCCAGGCTGGAGTGCAGTGGTACCATCTCAGCTCACTGCAACCTCCAACTCCTGGGTTCAAGCAATTTTCCTGCCTCAGCCTCCCAAATAGCTGGGACTACAGGCATGTGCCACCAAACCCAGCTAATTTTTGTATTTTTATTAGAGATGAGGTTTCACCATGTTAGCCAGGCTGGTCTTGAACCCCTGACCTCAGGCAATCTGCCAGCCTCGGCCTCCCAAAGTGCTGGGATTACAGGCATGAGCCACTGAGCCCAGCCAAGGGAGTAGTTTTCTTAATAAAGCAAAGCCTTCTAGAAACAGTAAACTATAGCAAAATCTTGCACAAAAGAGCTAACAAATAGACTCTATCCCCCTTTGTTTTATCTTTTTAAAATCGACACATATTAATTGTACCTATTGGCCGGGTGCAGTGGCTCATGCCTGTAATCCCAGCACTTTGAGAGGCCGAGGCTGAGAGGATCACCTGTAATCCCAGCACTTTGAGAGGATCACCTGAGGTCAGGAGTTTGAGACCAGCCTGACCAAACCTCTCTATGTCTTAGTAGAGACATGGAGAAACCCTGTCTCTACTAAAAATACCAAATTAGCCGGTGTGGTGGCACATGCCTGTAGTCCTAACTACTCGGGAGGCTGACCCAGGAGAATCGCTTGAACCCAGGAGGCCGAGGTTGCTGTGAGCCGAGATCGCACCATTGCACTCCAGCCTGGGCACAAGAGCGAAACTCCATCTCAAAATAAATAAATTAACTAAATAAATAATTATACCTATTTATGGACTACAGTATACCTCCATACATGTATACAAGGTGTAATGATCAAATCAGGGTAACTAGCATACCAAGTACCTCAAACATTGATCATTTCTTTGTGTACATTCAAAATCTGTTCTTCTAGCTATTTGAAAATATATAATAAATTATTGTTAATTACAGTCACTCCATAGTACTATAGAACACTAGAATGTATTCCTCCTATCCTGCTGTACTTTTGTATTCGTTAACAATCTTTAGTTATTCCTCTGTCTCCTTACCCATCCCCACCTCTAGTAACCACTATTCTACTCTCTACCTCCATGAGATCAATGCTTTTTTTAGCTTCTACTTATGAGTGAGAACATGCAGCATTTATCTTTCTGTGCCTGGCTCATTTCACTTAACTTAATATTCTTCAGTCTCATCCATGTTGCTGCAGATGATAGAATGTCATTCTTTTTATGGCTAAATAGTATTCCATTGTGTATATATACCAAATTTGCTTTATCCATTCGTCTGTTGATGGACACAGATTGATTCCATACCTTGGCTATTGCGACTAGTGCTACAGTAAACATGGGGTACATGTATCCCTATGATGCACTGATTTCCTTTCCTTTGGATATTTACCTACTAGTGGAGTTGCTGGATCACATCATAGTTCTATTTTTAGTTTTTTGAGGCATCATTTTACTGTTTTCCATAATGGCTGAACTAATTTACGTTCCCACCAACAGTGTAAGAGTTCCCCATTTTCCTCATCCTTGCTAGCATTTGTTATTTTTTGTCCTTTTGATAATAACCATTCTAACTGGAGTGAGATTACACCTCATTGTGATTTTATCTTTTTCTATTGAGAAAAAGGCTAGATACTAAATATTTTAGTCTCTGTGAGCCATACGGTCTCTTTCACAACTACTGATTTCTACCGCTGAAGTGTGAAAGCAAGCAAGACAATATGTAAACAAATGAGCATGGCTGTGTTCCAATAGAACTTTGTTTCCAAAAATGCAGGATTTGACTTGTGGACCATCATTTGCTCAATGCTGGGCTAGAACGGTTCACAACTTTGCTGCAAATTGGAATCACCTGAGGATGTTTAAAAACTTTTATTGCCTGGCTCCTACCCCAGGCTTCAGGAGTTTTAAAGCTTCCCAGCCTGTAATCCCACAACTGTGGGAGGCTGAGGCAGTCAAATCACCTGAGGTCAGGAGCTCAAGACCAGCCTGGCCAACATGGTGAAATCACGTCTCTACTAAAAATACAAAAATTAGCTGGGCATGGTGGCCCGTGCCTGTAATCCCAGCTACTTGGGAGATTGAGGCAGGAGAATCACTTGAACCAGGAGGCAGAGGTTGCAGTGAGCTGAGATCACACCACTGCACTCCAGCCTGGGTGACAGAGCAAGACTCTGTCTAAAAAAAAAAAAAAAGCTTCCCAGGTGATTCTAATGTGCAGCAAAATCCGGGAATCACCAGTCTGGGACCTTGTTATTCAAACTACCATCCTCAGAAAAGAAGCATCCGTATCTACTAGGAGCCTTATCTGCTTTTGTTTTTGTTTTTGTTTTTTCAATAGATTTTGTGTTCTTTCTATTGTTTATGGTTTTTCAACTTATTATACCCAGAAGATCCTCATAAAAACTACTAGAATAGATGCAATTTGTTAAATAGCTGCATATACAAAAATTAACGACCAGGCGCAGTGTCTCATGCCTATAATCCCAGCATTTTGGGAGGCTGAGGTAGATGGATCACCTGAGGTCAACAGTTCAAGACCAGCCTGGCCAACATTGTGAAAACCCATCTCTACTAAAAATACAAAAAATTAGGTGGGTGTGGTGGTGGGTACCTGTAATCCCAGCTACTTGGGAGTCTGAGGCAGGAGAATCATTTGAACTCAAGAGGCAGAGGTTACAGTGAGCCGAGATCGCACCATTGCACTCCAGCCTAAGCAATAAGAGCAAGACTCCATCTCAAAAAAAAAAATCAACATATATCTATAAAAGGAATCACTAGGTAAAAACAAAAATTAGAGAAAATATTACATTCATGTTATCCTATACATATGTATTTATTTGTTTATTTACTTATTTATTTTTGATACAGCGTCTTACTTTGTCACCCAGGTTTGGAGTGCGGTGGTGTGAACATGGCTCGCTCACTTCAGTCTCAACCTCCTGGGCTCAAGTGATCCTCCTGCCTCAGCCCCCTGAGTGGCTGGGACCACAGGTGTGCATCACCATGCCCGGCTAATTTTTAAGTTTTTTTGTAGACATGAGAGTCTCACCATGTTGGTCAGTCTGGAAAATAAATTTTAATGAGAGGTATACAAACCTAGATTTTAAAAACTATAAATGTCTATTGAAGTATATAAACAAAATATGAATATGCAATGACAGCAAGTTCTTGGACAGGAAGATCTAATCTCTAAATATCTCTTCCCCAAAATTAATGTATAAATTTTGTGCAATTCTGATTTTATTCCAGAAAAGAGATATTTTTGTTTGATTTTTAAAAAATTGGATGAAACGGTCTTACAGTATTTATGGAAAAATGAATGTCTGAAATAAGTAATAAAATTATGGGAAAATAATATTAAGGTGGGATTAATATTACTGGCTACTAAAACATACTATAAACCACTGAATCAAACTAAGAACTTGGTAATGAGGGGCCATGAAGCAAAAAAGAGACAACACAAACAAGGTAGAAGAAACTCATGTGGAAAACAGACCATCTAGACCCGTGTTAGAACTATTATCCCTCTTCTACATTGGCCATACGCATTTGTGTGTGTATACATATATATTGTTTATAATTATGTATGTATTATTTACAATTATGTATATTAAGCTTTCATTAGGTAGAATTTTTACCACCAAAATTTGTTTTGGAGACAGGGTCTCACTCTGTCACCCAGGCTAGAATGCAGTGGTACAATCATAGCCCACTGCAGCCTTCCATCTCCCAGGCTCAAGCAGTCCTTCCACCTTAACCTCCAAAGTAGCCAGGACTATCAGTGTGCGCCACCATGCCTGACTAATTTTTTTATTTTTTAGAGACGGGGTCTCCCTATGTTGCCCAAGCTTGTCTCAAACTCCAGGACTCAAGCAATCCTCCTGTCTCAGCCTCCCAAAGTGCTCAGACTACAGTTATAAGGCATAAAGGCTGGCCTAACCCAATTTTTTAAAAATTTTACCATTAAAAATCTGAGTCTTAAATAATTATTGGGTCAAAAAATTATAATTATATGCTATTTTAAAAGTAATAAAAATGAGAAAATTTAGATCAGTCATTTAGGATGGCATGGTTACAGACAAAAATAAGAACATTTAGAAAACTATATGATACAACCAAAACCATACTCAGAATAATATTCTTAGCCTTAAACTTTTTATTATTAAAGGAAATTTTAAAACTGCTCAATGTTAAAAGTTAGAAAAAATATCCATAAATTTTGCAATATTTATGGTGAAGTTTTGATATCCTTAAATAATGGTTTGAGATCTGTATTTCCACTTAGAATAGACAAAGATGCAAAGGAATACTGCTCCCATGTTAACAATAACCACAAAAAGAAAAAAATAAAGCCAGAAAATCTACAAAATCAAAACTTTTCTTGAGCCTATCAGAGAAAGGAGATTGCCAGGCAACAGGTGAACTGAATTCAAAAAGGTGGCAAGCACCTCCAAGGACAGGTGAGACCTTTGACAGAACACAGGAGGAAAAACTTGCAGGCAAAAAAGGGGATAAGAAAGCAATTGATGGTTTGACACATACTCAAAGGCCAAATGTATATGAAAATAACAGTAGAAACTCTGGGAACCCCCCACACATGGTGTGCCCACTGACTAACCAGCTTTCTTTCATGGACTCAACCTGGTACTTAACGAGAAAGATTGGGACAGAGCAGAAGACCTGATGGAGCTCCCTTAGTGGGATGGGTGTACAGACAGAGAGTGGCTGCCTCTTGAGGACAAGCACAAAACCCAGGACTTTTTGTCATACA